TTGAGGGCAACCCCGGAAAGTGCGGCAAAAATAAGCGCCTGCACGTGTAGGCGCGCATCTTAGCCAAGGCTCGCGCCTACACGCGTAGCTGCTTGTGTCAGATACGCGCCCACACGTGCAGGTGCGAGCCCTAGCTAACATGAGCGCCTCCACGTGCAGATGCGCATTTGGCGAGCTCGAATATAAGCGTCTACTCGCTCGTGCTGGCGCTCGTTTTAGCTAAGATACGCGCCTACACGTGTGGCCGCGCGTATAACTATATTGTCTCCTCGCCCCCCCCCCCCTCCCGGGCAAGTCATGTGCACTGAGCAACTGTCAACCCAAAAAGGACTGCACACGTGTATAGGCCGCCCAGACCCCTACCTGACCTCCCACCTCAGCCTTCCACTCGAATACAACCTCTGCGGCCCTCTCCAGCTCCTGAGACCTAAGGTGTTAAAAAAATGTATCGATCACACACCAAGTGCGTATATCACCTCAAGCCAATGTATGCGGCCACACGTGTAGGCGCGTTTCTTAGCTAAAACGAGCGCCTGCACGAGTAGACGCTTATATTCGAGCTCGCCAAATGCGCATCTGCACGTGGAGGCGCTCATGTTAGCTAGGGCTCGCACCTGCACGTGTGGGCGCGTATCTGACACAAGCACCTACACGTGCTGGCGCGAGCCTTGGCTAAGATGCGCGCCTACACGTGCGGGCGCTTATTTTTGCCGCACTTTCCAGTCTTTGAGCCAGGCAGGCGTTTGTGCTCTCGTCCGTGCCAGTCCTGCGCCGCTCGTGCCTCTTGGCCGCATGCCTTCTCCGCGCCCGTCACGCTGGCGTCTAGAGTCCACTGAAACAAAGCTGTTGGCGCACTTGGCCGCGACGCTGCTGTCGTGGGCCTTGGCAGTCTCTGTCTCGCGGCGAGCGCGCCAGCTATGCGCGCAGAGTAGCCCGAACATGGACATGCTCGGACTCCTCCTCGGGCTGGTCCAGCTCGGAGTGATGTACCTGCCGTACATCGGCTACCACGCGTCCGGCGGGCCCGTGCTCTTTCCGCCCATCTCTTGCGCCAACAACTACACCTGGCTCCGGCGAGCGGCGACCTGGGCGGGGTTCAGCCTGCTAGCCGGAGGAGTACATGCCTGGACGATCCTAACCAGCACGAGCAATCCGGTGCAGGCTGCAGAGACTTTCGCCGACTTCCTCTCCTACCTCCCTCCGGCTGGCCTCATTCTGCTTGCTGGCAATCCGGTTCCGCTGCGCGACTACGCCACGGCCTTCGCAGCGCCAGGGACGGAAGCGGAATGGATGACACCCGCGGCCTACAGGCACGCCGTGTCGAAACTCCCGGCAAGAAACAGGCCCGCGGTTCGATTGCTCATGGCTGCGCACCTCCTGGGTGCGCTTCTGCTCATAGTCGCCCCATCCATAAGCGGCCTCTTTCGCAGAGAATGGTACACCAAGCTCTGCGCATGCTTCGCGCTCGCGCTATTTGTTGGTCATCAGCGGCGCCTGCCCATCTACCGAATGGCTAGCTCCCAGCTGAGTGCAAAGGTTATGGAGACTTACGCGGGCGCGCCGGGCTGGCAGAACCAGCTGAACGCGCCTCGGCGAGAGCTGAAGCCGTGGAAACTCGTCAATGAGCTTGGCGTCGCGGAGCATCTGTTGCTAAACTCGCTGATGCTCGTGATGCTCTCCTACCAGCATCACGACGAGGTGCAGGGGCTGGGATGGGCATCTCGCATGATAGCTCTTTTGTGGAACGCGGGGTTCGCCTCCTTTGGCGGTGAAATGCTGCTCTCGATGCTGCTCCGGACGGCCACCAAGATAGTGTGATAAAAACAAACTAGGCGAGAGTGCCTCGTGTCTGCTCGACTCTACTGTACGTAAACGACAAAACATCGGCCGTGCCCCTGGGGTGTCCGCCTGGTGTCCGCGTGAGCGCGCTCGGCTCTCGTTGTCGTGGCTCTCGTGCGGATTGCGGTGAGCGTGAGCGGCCGTGAGCGACATTGTCGATTGTCGCGTCGCTTATTGCTGGTTCTTCCGCTCACCCCTCTAAGTCACCCCTCCCGTGGAGGCATGTGTGAGCTGTTCATGCTAGCCATCCCGAGGGAACCTCCTCGCGGTCCCAACCGTGGCGCGTGCGCCCCTCCTCCGCACTGCACTGTCGGAGGGATTGTAGAAGGGCGCTGCATGCGCTGCACGCGGTGCCCCGTACACGGACCCGATCCCAGCGAAGCGGCGCTGCCCTCTGGCGAAGCAGCACTCGCGTACCTGTCCACAGCCGCACATGTAAAGAGACGCTGCTCGCCACTGCCGCTGTCACAACACTCGCCGCTCTCGCATTGCGCGTGGTTGAGAGGACAGCGTTCTGAGCGTCGGGCGAGTAAGCACCCGGGCCGGGACCAGGCGCGTTGAGCGGCAGGGCGACTGGGCGGCGTGTCGAAGTGGCCCTCCCGCTGCTGCGGGGGCCCGCCGTGGAGGGCCGATCGGACGGTGGTTGGGACTTGGGAGGGGGCGCCATGGGGAGCGCCGCGGGACTGACAGGCGTGTCATGACTTTGCGGTGCTTGCCTCGCAATGCTGCAAGCAGAGACGGGCCGCGCGGTGCCGAATGGCGAGGTCGTGCCGAGCCCTGCAGGCTGTGTGGGCCGGCCACTCGCACTGGCGACGCTCGTGCTTGTCGACGGGCGGGTTGGGGACCTTGTGCCCGAGTCGGGTGGCCTGTACGTAGGTCCAGGACCCGAGGATTGCAAGGCTATGCCCCGGCCAACCATCCCGCTCGCCGTCTGCTCGACGGCGCACTGGCCAAGGTAGCGGCCGCGGTCCTCCACGCTCCATCTGCCAGACCACGAGCGAGCGGAGCCTATGGAGGGTGCCGAGTATTTGTGTCGGAGCTTGTGGGTAAGGGCTGGTGGTCCTCGCTACTTGCATCTGAAATCTGCATCTATAAAATGTACCCGACCGGGTTGACAGGTAGGTGCAGAGGTGGGGCGAGTAGCTGGCGGGGCCGGGCGTCGAGTGCCGCGGCGGAGGCGGCCGGGCGCCCCACCTCTCCTCGTTGAATGCGCCGGGCGGCGGCCTCCACCGCCGCCTCTCTGCCTGCAGGGCTGGACCAAGGTGGGGCCACGCTTCAGGTTCGATGGTCTGAGAGAGCACCGGCGGCGACGACGTTTGCTTGGCGGTCAGCCGGATGCGAGGAGACGCGGAGCTGCTGGCGAGGCTCGAGTCGGGAGAGGCGCGGATTGTGCCCGCGGGCGTAACGTCATCGTCAATGCTTTCACACGGTGCCGCGCGCGTGATGAGATTGGCTGTATGAACGTGTCTGTGTGTCGCTCCAGCGTGCCGACTGCCGTCATATCCTGTCCCGTCCACCCATTGATAGGGAGAATCTTTCTGGAATCTGGAAACTGCAATCTGTGGTATCTATCTCCTATCTGGCTCAGAGGCACCTCGTAACAGATATATATCTGGCTGTGACCTGATGACCTGTGTCACCAAATTTGTAAAATTCGAGGAGCTGGACGCACGCCCAGAGAGACCGAGCGGGGCGGGAGGGATAGCAAGCACGACAGTACACATGCTCAAAATCCAAAATGACAAAAACAGTCAACAGTAGGGCCGCGTGCACACCCACCACCCGAGTCAACTCTCGGAACTCGCAGCCCAATCTCTCGCGGGCGGGCGAAGAGTCGCGGATCTGGGAGGAGGACCGGGCTAGCCACCGTAAAGCGTAATGCACTCCCCTGCACGTGGCAGCGCGGGCGGCTCAGATTTGTGTAAGGGCACCGAGCACGACGAAAACGCCCACGCCGAAGAACACGGGTAGGAAAGGATTCTTCGCGTTCGGGTCCGCGCCGAGGCCACGCGACTCGGCGATCATTTTGTCGCGCATTGTGTTGCTAAGCGTGGGCTTCTTCTCCCCAGAAGTGTAGACGACCTGCTGCCCCTCCGGAACCTCGTCGTCGTACAACGCCCCATCGTTGCCTTTGGCTTGGTAGACCCCGCTGCTCTTGGCGGTTGCCGGGTCGAAGTCGGCCGGCTGCTCATACGTCGACGCGCCCGCCGAGTTCCAGTAGTACGTGTTGCCCTCTGCGTCGATTGCCGTGTTCCACGTCAGCTTCGCCTCTGCGACGCCATCCGGCTCTTGCAGCAGGACGAGCGAGCGCGACGCGGCGAGAGTCGGCCGAGCAGGACTCGCGCCTGTCGGTGGGCATGTCGCGGACCGCGTGAGCGGGACAGAGGCAGAGGCGCCTGTGGAGGTGGGGAGGCGAAGGCAGGAAAGCGTCTCGGAAGCGTCCATGCACCAATCAGGAGCGCCGGCGCATGGGTGTCCGAGTGGGAGACAGCGCGCTGCGCCGGCCGAGGAGCAACCAGCCCAAGGGCGGCCGACGTGAAGAGGAACAGGGCCGCGAACAGCTTCATGTAGAGCTCAGCCCCAGCTGCTCAAGACGAAGAGAGCACCGTCGGGAGAGCTGCTCAAGACGAAAAGAAAACGGCGTGCGTTAAAATATATTCATCGCGCAATCCTATACGAGAGAGGAATCCCTGGGACCCTGTCGTGTGGGTGAACCCTGCCCAGCCCCCCTCCGTGTCGCGATGCGCTCCCCGCTCCCGTTCCCCTGTGTCCCTGATCGTCCTTACAAGATCCTGCTCGTGCAGGTGGGGACCCTGTCCTTCTCCCACCCCTCGTTTGGCGTGCCCGTTTTATTTATTTATTCGTCTCGCAATTCTTTTTTTAAAACTTTTATAGCGAGTCGTAGGCGCCTGCTTCCGTGCCCCACGCCGGCACGGCGCCCGCCGTCACGCGGCCGCGCGCGTGTGTTTGCCTCTATGCCCCCGCTCCAATCGCGGCGCCGCCGGCTCCTCCTCGCCGCCGCCGCCGCTAGCACCGCCGCCGCTGCCGCCGCCGCCGCCACCACCACCATCAATGGCGGCAGCACCAGTCGCAGCTCCAGCGCCGGCCCGTGGGAGGGGTGGCAACCCGGCGCTCCGGTTGGCACCATCCCAGCCTGCGGCTGGCGCGAGTGCTTCAAGAAGGAGCACAAGTGTGCCAACTGCCGCGACGATGCGAATGCGCTCGGCCAGCCGCCCCGACCCCTGAGCGGCTGGATCCCTGACGTACGACTCCTACGTCGCATGATGGTGCTCGGCCGTGATGCCGCCGGCGAGCCGCCCTAGACACGGTCACACCTTGTCGCCTCTCTGATCTCTGCCTTGTGCGTGCACGAGCGCACCTCATGCCAATGCGGCAATAGCTCGGCCCTGCTGCCATAGGCAATCCCTGGCCGCCGCCGCTGCCGCGGGAGCTGTGCGAGCCGATCGGTTTCTTCGGCGGGCCGAACGACGACAATTTGAGGCTGCTGCGCGAGGCGAACGTCACCGCGGCGCCACTGGTTGAGCCCGCCGCCGGCGACGCGGCGGCGAGGCGGGGCGAGGGTGGCGGGCACGGGCAGCAGAGGCAGCCGACTGTGCTCTGTCTCATGTACACAATGGAGACGCAGCACGCGACCTCCGTCCGCGCGGCGCGGGAGACATGGGCAGGTGGATGCGACGGCTTTCTCGCCTTCTCCACGCGGAGCGACCCGCGGCTCCCCGCCATCGCGTTGCCGCACGTCGGGCCAGAGGCGTCGCCCCGCCGCTTAATCGCGGTTCGGCGGTTAGCTCGTGTGTCGACGATTTCTTTTAGGACGCGCCAGTCGTGCGAAAAACAACAAGAAGAATAACGTCCACCGCTTAAAAATGAAAAAAGAAAAACTATTAACAACGAAGGCGCTCTCAAAAAAAGAAAAAAATCTCGTACGTGACTAATCTTGTGTTTCGTAGGAGGTGCTCACCAAATCGGGGAGCGCAGCCCAAGGCAGCAAACTCGGCGCTCTCAGCGCAGTCCTCGTCGCCAAGCGCCACGCCATCTTGACGTGCAGCGCCTCCCCAAGATGGTGCTCGCCTCTTCGTACGGCCAAGCACTCGGCAGCAACCTCCAACTCCGCTCGGCCCTCGCTCTCCTCGCGCCGATCACGTTCACAATCCTGATCGGCGCCGGCTTCCCGCAGTTCGAGATCCAAGACAGCGTCGCTGAGCTTTGGATTCCCGACAGGTCGTCTTATGCGGCAGACAGGGAGTACCGCATCGAGAATGGCGCAGGAGAAGTGACGACAAACCTTCTCGTTCTGGCCCGCGCACGCGATGGGCACAGCACGATGCTCGACGCGCGCTCTCTGCTCGAGCACGACGATGCTATGACGCGAATCTACGCGACCACGGTCAACGTCCGAGGCAACGCGTACGACCTGTCCGACGTTTGCCTGACCGCACGTCCCTACCTTCTGCCGTGCGTGGTGCCGACCGTCCTCGATTGCTTTTATGAGGGAAGCAGCGTCGTGGAATGGCAACCTCTTGTGCTCGGACTGGCCATGGGGGCGCCGGACGCGATCACGATCCCCTGCGGCCTCGTCTCCCCCACTCCGCCAAACATCACATGCGGCGAGCCGTCCACGGCCCTTTACGAAACCCTGCTCCACCAAGGATGCACTGCTGCTGCGCTTCCCTCCTGCAACAGCACCGCTATGGAGCAGTCGGCAAAGGACGCGATTGTGTCGGCGGCAATCCTCCAGTCCGGCCTCATCCCCGCCTCGCCCTACGACTCCAAGCCGAAGCTGCGCGACGGCGACGGCGCCCTTCTTCCTGACGCAGAGGTGAGAGCGGCCGTCTCGGGCAATCTCCGGCAATCTCGGGTAATCTCGGGCAATCTCGTCAGGTGAGAGCGGCCGTCTCGGGAGAGTGCTTCGCTTGGGACGGCGGCAGCATCTACGGCGAGGTCAACAAGGAGCTCGTCGTCGGCAGCGCAAAGGCCAACGCCAGCGGCTTCTATGAGTATGCGGGCGCTATTCAGGCGTCCCTTAACCCTCACCACCGCCCTCACCGCCCGCCACTCCTGCCCGCCACTCCTACTCGCGTCTGCAGGCAGTCTTCGTCCTCACCAACGGCGCGGCGGTGCAGCAGCGCCTGCGCGCTCGCCCCGAGACCGCGGGGGGGGCGAGAGACATCTCGCTCGAGGAGGCGATGGAGGTACTCGAGGCGATGAAGGCGCGCACCTAATGGACACCCACCTCATCTTTCATGAAGAGCCCGCCCTTCACGCGATCCCCGCGCCCCTTGGCCTTTAGGCGGCGCTCGAGGAGTCGGCGGTGGCAGAGCAGGCGTGCTACACACCTCACCCACGCGCACCGGGCCCTGCACTTTATGCCGTGGGGCCCCTGTCGTCGGACGAGGAGATGCGAGAGGGCTGCCTGGCCCTTGCCCCACCACCTCGTGTGTGCGGAGGGAGATTTGACCACTTTCCCTTTCCCTAGGCGGGTCCGTGGGAGAGTGACCCCGACCCTGCTCGCGTCACGCGGACCCTGCATTCGGCCTTCTCGGACGACGCGGTCGTGCCGGGCACATTCACGCAGACCCTCCGCGACGAGACCTACAGCTCGATCAACATCATGATCGTCAACTTTCTCCTGGTCGGCGCTCTCGCGGCCCTCTTCTTTGTCGACTGCGCCTCCGCCGTCCGCTCGCGCGTCCTCCTCGCGCTCTCTGGCGTCGCGCTCGCCGTCCTCGCCTTCCTCGCCTCGCTCGGCCTGGTGGCCCTCGCCAGCATCAAGCTCAACATCATCACCATGTGGGTGCTCCCCTTCCTCCTCGTCGGGATCGGCGTCGACGACATGTTCATCATCACCTACGCAGTCGAGCGGCGGCGGGGCGCCAGCGGCGGCGCCGCGCCCGCGCTGGTGCTGGGCGAGGTGATGGCGGAGGTTCTCGCGCCCGTCTCGCTCACCTCGCTCATCAACCTGATCATGTTCGCCGTGATGGCGCGCTCGGACCTGTCGGGCGTCTACGAGACAGCGTACGTTGCGATGGTCGCCGTCACGATGCTCTGGGCGGCCATGGTGACCGCCTTGCCCGCGCTCATTGCCTTTGACCTCCACCGCCAGGCGTCCCGGCGCAGCGAGCTCTGTCCCTGCAGCGCCGTCGCGCCCGCGGACGCGGGTGCTGATCTTTCGGAACGGTCTGCCAGCGTGCTCGCCGACAAGTACTGCTTCCGAGGCGCCTACCTCCGCGCCCTCTCCAAGTGGCGCGCCTCGCAGCTGCTCGTCGGAGTGCTCTCCGCCGCGCTGCTGGCGACGTGCGCCGTCAAGGTGAACGACCTCCCGCTCGGCCTCGAGCTCAACGACTTTGCTCGTTCCGACACTTGGGTGGAGGTGTACTTTGTCGACCGCTCCGAGCACTTCCCGCTCTGGCCGATCAGCATGAACTTTGGCGCCCTCGAGTACGAGAACCCACTCTCGCAGCTCGGCATGCTCCGGACCTGGGAGAACGTCGCCGCCCTCCCCGAGGTGTCCGCAAGCCCTCGTTCGGGCCTTGTCTGGACGGCGTCGATGGCCGCGTGGGCGCACCCCGCGATCGGATGCGTCCCTCCCGCGAACGCCCTCTACACGTGCGGGCCGGAAGTCGACCCGAACTGCACGGCCACGTTCTACCCAAACGTTTACGGCCTTAAGACCCGGGCGGACGGAGGCGTCTGCGCCGACTTTGCGCGCGAGCCGGCGCTCGCGGAGTGGGACGGCGATCTGTACGCCATGTTCGCTTTCGCGCACACGAACATGTCGCCTGTGCTGTGCGCCATAGTGGACGGCTTTGGCGTCTCGTGCTCACCCTCGAACCCCGCCTCGATGAGTGACGCCGCCGCCTCCCTCGCGGGCTACAAGCCTTCGGGCCACACGGCGTTCTGCCCCGTGCTCGACGTTGCTCCGGCCACGTTCGACACGTGCGCGAGCCTCTGGCTCCAGCACGACCCGAACTACGCACTGCTCGGCCCAGAGATCAAGCAGGCCTCGCCTGGTGCCTTTGAAGCGCCGGTGCTGTTCAGCCAGGTCGACGGCTCGACTACTCTCGGGCCATCTCGGATCATCTCGGGCCATCTCGGGTAATCTCGGGCAATCTCGTCAGGTCGGCGGCTCGCAGACGAACGCGGTCCACCTCTACACCACAGAGGATTACCTCACGCTGATCCGCAACACGCGCGGCCTCTGTGACGACTCCGGTGCCATCCAGCCGGTGAGAGCGGCCGGTGTGTACGACGTCTCCGTCGGCCCGCTCCACTGCTTCATGAGCGGTGGCTCTCTCCCTCCCGCCTCTCTCCTCCCGCCCGCCTCTCTCCTCCCGCCCGCCTCTCTCCTCCCTCCGGCCTCTCCCCCCCCGCCTCTCTCTCTCTCTCTCTCTCTCTCTCTCTCTCTCTCTCTCTCTCTCTCTCTCTCGCTCGCTCGCTCTCTCTCTCTCTCTCTCTTGCTCTCTATACCGCCGCCCTCCTCCCGCCGCGTCCCTCACCGCCGCCCCTCGCCCTGCCCGCGCCAGGCGTCCCGTACGACTACTGGGAGCAGTACCTCACGATTGAGACGTTCCTGCTCACGACGATCCTGTACGCCTCCCTCGCCGCAGTGGCGGTCGCCTGCGCCTTCCTCGCATGCGAACTGCTCTCCCTCGGCTGGGCCGCGACCGACGCCCTCCAGGGCGCCGTCGTGGGCGCCATCCTCATCGCCGCCGCCATCGCCGCCTCGGTCGTGTCGGTGGTCGGCCTACTCGGCTGGGTCGGCGTTCCCCTCAGCGGGATCAGCGCCATGTCGTCGCTGTGCGCGGTCGGGTTCGCGACCGAGTTCGCGGTGCACATCACCCACGCCTTCCTCGCGAGCGGCGCATCCGCCGCCGCCGCGCGTGCGGAGGCGGCGATGCGGTCCCTGTTTGTGCCGATGCTCCTCGCGTTCCTCTCGTCGCTCCTCGGCATCCTCCTGCTGCTCGCGACCACCTTTGGCTTCGTCTTGAACTACGTGTTCAAGCCGATGATTTGCTGTCTGGCGCTGACCTACTTTTACGGCTGCGTCACGCTGCCCTTGCTACTGCAGGCCCTCAACTGCCTCATGCCCAAGCCCCCCGGCGCAAGCGCCGCAGACGCGTCCAAGGCGGCGTCGGGAGCCACTTTTGCTGCGCCGGACGCGTCGGTGAAGGCGGGGCAGATGCCCGTCGGTGAAGGCGGGGCGGCCCGGTCAGTTGTCTAAAGTGCCGCCGTGCGCGGGGCGACAGCCCGCCGCCTTTCAGGGCAGATGTGGAGCCGCGCGGCTTCGGTTCCTAGAAGTAGAACTCGCAATGGCGTCGTGGTGGTGTGAAGGGCGCCGCCAGTGCGACCGGGGCGCGCGAGCGCCGCCACGCAGCGCCCGGGCGAGCGCCGCCAGCGTCCGTGGGCAAGCCCCGCCAGCTACTAGTACTACGCGTACTGTACGTGAGTGGAGAGTCGTTTGTGCATGAGTGGAGTCTCGTAGATGAGTGGCTGCCAGTTCGAGACTGTGGGGCCGATCGAACTTGAGTTGTTCGGAGGAGAGTAATCTCCGGCACGGGTACAAAAAATTACCTTACCTGTGTTACCTACGTACGGCTCTAAATGCTAAAGGATAGCGCGACGCGCGCGAGCCTCGTCGCGACCGCGAGGGCGCGCAGCCATTGGTGGGCTGCGGGGAGAGGTGTGAAGGCTCCGAGCGTAGAGAAGACGTACCCGGGACTACATCAATCTATAACAC